TGTAATTACAAAATTGCTGTCATACCCTTTTATGAACACTAAATGCTGTACAACTGATTTCAATACAACTTCTACAGATGTGAGAAATTCTTGCAATCATTATTTTGCCATTTGGTTGCAAGACACAGCCTTTCATCATGTCGGACAATGGTTTGGCTGTGATGGCCACTTCTTATAGATGACCCACATGCAGGGGATCGCCATATTCTGGCATGGATTTCTTTGTTGCATTTTTGCAATTAGCTAAACACCTTTTTTTTCTGGGCCTTTTGGCCAGTTGAGTTGCTGTTTCTCTTCTTCCTTTCGAAAGCTGTTTTGATCCATGCCCTTAGAAGACCATAATCATCATTAACTGCATTCTGGTTGTGAATATCAACATTCATCATCTTCATTACTTGCAGGTATCCTTTTAACAGAGTTGTTGATGCCCAAGTTGGGCTACTTGCTGCAGAATACTCAGCCTTTGATTTATTTTGCCATCTTTTATGCAGCTGATTTATTTAAATTTCTAGTTAGCAGTGACAGACTTTTGCCCTTAATGGACTTTGCTTGTAAATATTTGGCTACACTGGTGATTACTGGTGGTGATTAATAGTTTACAAAAAAACAGTGATAGACTTGGTGGTGGTGCCTCTTAAGAGATCAGATGCTGTCACATTTTAGGTGGTTAGTGTCAAGACTATGAAGTCATAACTATCTAAAGTGAACTGGCAGATTAGTTTGAGATATAAGTAAGTAGACATACTGTGGCAGACATTTCAGGGGCTATTTTATCATGCTTAGCAGAAGTAAATTCCAGGAAGCAAGTAAGATTTTAGAAGGATGTATTATTTGTGGATACCTCAGGAATTTAAAGTTATTTTCAAATTAGAATACAAAGCATATAATTCTTTGAATAGTACTGACAGGTCAGAAATTGGGCAGAGTAACAAAAACCGCAGATATAAATAGCATTCTAAAACAAATGCTAAATCAAGAGGGAGGGAGCAATGTAAAACAAATATTATCACAAGGAAAAGGTGTTGAGAACATTTTTAGAACAATGAGCAAACAAGTCCCCATGTCCTTGATAGACTTCATCCTAGGATCTTAAAAGTGGCATGTGCATCAGGAGTTGAATTGATTTTTAATTTTCTAAATTTGTCTAGATTTTGGAAATGAGCAAATGTAAGTTCAAAACAGAGTAATTACTCTGAATGCTAAAATGGTCTGTGGCGCCCTGAGTATGCACAGATGGGGCTAAGCCATGATAGCCTTCAAGGTGTGTTTGCACATGTGATGCTGGTGTTACCACATTCCATACTCTGTTATCCGTACTGGTGCCTGAACGTACTGCCCAATCTTTCTTTGATATTTTTTCTTGGCTGCTTCGTTTTGGCATCTTTTGTTGTTTCAACATTGTGTCTCCTTGTAACAGTTGTGTAATGGGAAGCAAAGGCTGAAGATGTTCTTCAAATATGGCATTACTTTTTGGCCTCTACTTGTACTTCCCAATATCATAATTCTGTTGCCTCAGCTTGCACTCTGTTTCACCTCCTTTCAGCTCCTCATGCTGATTCAGTTGGGGTACAGGCAGCAGTGACGCTCGTGCTATCTATTTTCTTCCTTTTTGGTGCTTCCTTTTTCTCCTCACTAAATACTTAAAGTAGTTACCTAACTCTGCAGAACCTCCTGGATGGAGCTTTTGAAACATTCACAGTCACTATGGAAATTTCCATTGCTTCTAAATGACATCAACATCCTATTCATGCACAGCCTCTATGCTACCTAGAGGTGGAGTTTGAGCCATTCACCCCCATTCCAGAAAGGAGGAAAACAGAAACAGGAAACTGCAAGCTGATTAGTCTAACATCTGCCATAGGGAAAATGTAATTTATTGAGTGTTTTGAGGAAGTAACTGGCCAAGTGAATAAAGTGGAACCTACGGATGTCATATACTTGAATCTCAAGAAGGCATTCAAAAAGGTGACCCATCGGATGTCATGACAGAAAATCAGATGGGGGTTATCAAGAGGACGTAGTGGCCTCGTGGTATTATCGCCAGTCTAGTCATCCAGAGACTCCAGAAATGATCTTGGTGACCCAGATGGAATTTGAATTCAACAAAATGAAATCTGGAATTAAAAGTCTAATGATGACCATGAAACCATTGCTGATTGCCAGAAAAACCCATCTGGTTCACTAATGTCCTTCAGGGAAGGAAACTGTTGTCCTTATCTGGTCTGGCCCACATGTGACTCCAGATCCACAGCAATGTGGTTGACTCTAAACTGCCCTCTTGGCAGTTCGGAATGTGCAATAAATACTGGCCTATTCAGAGGTGTCTACATCCCCTGAATGAATAAAATAATTAACATGAATGATTGGTGAACTATTTGGAAAAATAGTATAAGGATTACAAGCTGTAACTTGTGTGCTACAGGGTTCAATGTGGCTGCTTTAGCTACTTAAAATCTATGTCAGTGATTTAGATAAAGAAACCAAATGTGTGTTAACAAAATTTGCTGATGACACAAAGCCAGGTTGGAGAGTACATTATGAAGAAGACAAAAGGAGTATGCAAATTACTGTATCTTAAGTGAGTGGACAAATATTCAGCAGCTGGAATATAATATGGGAATGTGACCTTGCCTATTTAGACACCCAGAATAACAAAAAAGGAGTATACTTTTAAAAGGAGAAAAATAACAAAACTCGCTGCTACAGCACTTAAGGATCTGGGTATTATGGTTTGTGAATCACAAAAGGTCAAAATTTAGGTGAAGCAAATGATTACGAAGGCAAATGAATGTTGATTTTAATGCACGGAAAATTGAATATAAAATTTGGGATGTTTTACTATATATAGACAGGGCATTTTTGAGACAACATCTGGAGTACTCTGAACATTTCTTGTTCTCTTATTTAATAAAGGAGTTAATTGTGCTGCAGGAAGAGCAAAAAATGTTCCATTTGACTGATTCCTGTGATTATAGGGGTATTTTAACAAAATTATTGTAACTACTGGGTTTTAAAAGATTAAAATATGCAAGACCCTGAGGATATTTGACAAACTAGGTAATGAAAGAAAGAATGTTTCTCATTGTGGGTGAATTTAGAATGAGTTAAAAATATGGAGTCTCCCATTTAAGGCAGATGAGATTTTTTTTCTCTGACAGTTGAGCGTCTCTGAAACTCTTTTCCACTGCAAGTGGCGGAGGCAGGGTCTTTAAATATTTTAATGACAAAAGTGGATAGATTCTTGATTGACCAAATAGATTCAAAGTGCAAGTAAGTAAGGGATTGGAAAATAATCATGACAATAAGATCAGCCATGATTTTATCAAATGGCAGAACCTGCTTGAGGGTCTGAATTGCTTATTCCAGGTTCTAATTATTACGTTCTTATGTCATTTCCTGGCACAGATGTGGTGTGAACATGACTTAGCACATTGTAAGCTCAAACCTGAAAACGGCCCAGGAAACTTATTCCTTTGTTTTCTCTTGGTTCAGTTATTGCTTCCAATCCTGTGTAGTCAGACCCACAATAAATTTCAGCATAAACCATTGATGGCCAACAGGTGGCACAGCAAATCTAATTTACAAATGGATGTTGAATCACCCAAAATACATACACCTGCATCATGAGGAATATCCTTGGCTAAAAGCTGGTTCATTCTTAGACCAGCCCATCAAAGAATTGCTTCAAATATTGACATCTTTTTCCTACTTTCCTTTTCTTGACTTACAATGTTCATTGTGTATGGCTTCTGTATGTGACTATCTTTGAAGTAGTGTTTACATTTGTAGAAACAAATATCCATGTCATGTATTTAATATTCTTTTTCATCCTTTGCTTTGAGATTTTCATTAATTCTAAACACGTCACCTTCTGTTAATGTTGAAAATTTTAAAAGCATTATGTATTAGGTTTGTGATATGATAGGGAAATATATTTTTATTTCCCTCATTTAATATAAATGTTTGGGTAAGTATTTCAAATTGTTCTTTATTTATAAATTCTTTGTTATATTGTGCGTGCATGTTTGCTTAAATAGGGTTTTCTTCATTTTAGTGATACTTGATTTTCTCTTGTGTAGGGGCAACATGCCTATGCCCTCCATTTGGATCTGCAGCAGTCAATATTTCGCTGCTGGATTAACAGATGCATTAGTGAAAATTTGTGTACTTTCCCTTTGGAATTAGACACCTTTTGTGTTTATTTTGAGAAGGAGCTATATTTTCTATGGACAAAGAAAAATTCATACTAAAAAGCATTTTTCCTCAAGATTTTGGTGCCCACTCTCAGAAATTGTGTATTTTTTACATGACGTTTTATTTGGATTGCAATACTAACGTTGACCATAATTTTATGTTCAAGAAAATGCTTAACTTGAGTTTGAGTTACAACATAAAAGAAAAATGAGTTCTGAGAAGTATATCATAGAACAGCATGTTTGTTTAATAAGCCTACATTGGGGAAAATTACTTTTCATAGTTATTGGAAATGATTTTGAAAAAAGTCTTTGCAAAAGCTTTGAAATTTCTGCAGCTTTAAAAGTAAATGAATTTGGATTGTATTTCATTTTCCACATTGCCAATTTCAACTTCCGTGAAAAATGTTGAAAATTACAAGCTTTATCAAATTTCATCTGTGGAAAAAAACGCAATGCATTTATATAGCATTTTTCATGGTCTTGGTTGTTCCAGGATATGTCTCATTGTACTGTTGCAAATATAGCTGCTTAGTTGCATATGGAAAGGTTTCACAAATAAAACAAAAATTACCAGATTATCTGTCTTAGTGATAATAGCTAAAGGTCTGTCTATCTTATGATATGATACTAGGCCTTGGAATATGAAGGTATGGACAAAGATCACTATGAGCAAAGCGGTCATTAAATTTTCTTCCAACAATATTTGCAATCAGAAGTGGTAAAATTGAACCTTAATGAAAGAGTAGGCAATAATGTTCCTTGTAATATTTTGACATACTTTTTTATTTTCACTTTCCTTTGTAGAAAAGGAATTCTAGAAGAATATGTAAAAATAACCAGCCTTGTGACAGAAGACATAATAAATATCCACAAAGATGTCCTCAATTCCATTGAGCAAATCAACCCCAGCTCAGAGTACAACCACTTCATTGAAAATCACAGGTAAAATACTTTTGTCGTGCAAACTAAAGGTGGACATAAGAACACAAGTTATTTACACAGCAATTCGAGTGTACCTTCGCGGCCCAAAAAAGATGCTTTGCATCGAATCAATTACTTTTGAGTCGTAATCACTATTCTGGAAAATCTGGAAATCAACACGTACACAGTAAAACCTGTAAATAATGGCATAAACAAGCTGTTAATCTTACGGTAAAGGATTGCATGTTATCTACGCTACAATTGGAACATTTTCACTTTTTGTTTGAATAGTGAATAATGCATTAGGACAGTCATTAACTTGAATAGAATAAAACTTGTCTGATATGTGGGGGAAAAATATGTTTTGAGCTTTGGTTTTGTTTTGGGTTATAGAGTCATTCAGCATGGAAACAGACCCTTCCAACCAGTCCATGCCAGACATGTACCCAAACTAAACTAGTCTCACCTGCCTGCGCTTGGCCCATATCCCTCCAAACCTTTCCTATTCTTAAATACTTATCAAAATGCCTTTTAAACGGTGTAACGGTACCTGCATCCACTACTTCCTCTGGCAGTTCATACAATACACTAACCCATCTCTGTTCTTACATGATTTTGCCGTATCTTCTTGGTAATTTCTACCAACCTCAATGTTCCACTCCCGTTTAAAAACGCCACCTCAAATTTTTAAAACTAACTTCTCTCCTAAAACGAAACACTTCCATGCAAAACCAAAAATCATACCTTAATAAATGTTTCAGGGTCACTGGCGCCCAGTGTCTAATTTGCATAGACCAATAGTTCCCCTGAACTTTGTAAAACATTGTTGCATATGGTCAACTGGTTCTGGAGTTCTTGGCTTTTGTTGTATGTAGTAAATTCTGTTCACTATTCAGAGTACATCTTTTGGTTGAATGTTTTGGAGAACCTAATTCAAAATTCAAGTTAATGTTTAAGTGTGAGTTTGATAAAGTTACTACCAAGTGTAACTGAGAAGATGCTGGTATTTTGAGTATATAGCTTTTTATCTGCAGGTCACAGCCAGTTAAGGAGCCAAGTATTGAGTTTGATGTCTTATTGCTGGAGGACATGGAAAACCTTCAAGTCAATGAGATTTTATGGAACAGTTTAACAGCAGAGAGTTTACAGACAATGTAAGTTTGAAATCTCTTATGCCCATGTGTGTAATTTTTGAACATTTGAGAGAGCGAACTTTTGGGCCAGTGATATATAACAGTGACAGAGTGTGGGTAGTAATCCATGGTTCATTTTGTTCCAGTGAACATTTGGGGGAATAAATAAGTGTCAAATCAGCGTCTTCTTTATATATTTCAACTCCAAACACAACAGTGCTTACAATGTTTGTAAAATGCTCAATTCTGATGCCTTCTGATCGACATTGAGACCTGAAACAAAAAGTACTGGCCTCATGCACAGCTCAACAGATGAGGTTTTTATCCAGCACCAGTGAAGTAACTATCAAAAATAGTATTAACCAAGAATTACAAGGTGGACATTTTACATTTGTTGAAGTAAGAACCATTTCCAAACTTCCTTACTCTGTCAATTTTCTGCCCTTACCTACATGTTCATTGCTTGTGAATGGTTCTTGATGGTGGATGCAGATGCTGTTATAATCCCAGCAAAGACCAATAATATTTTAAGAGATTTGAGTTCCCTATGACCGATTGAAAGGATCAAATGGTTGATGATTGCACAATGATCAACACTGTGTGTTATTTCTTCGATATTGAAGCAGTCGGTGTTCATATACAGGACCAAGTCAACATCCAGTTTATATCTAAGTGATGCAAGGCATTCGTGCCACACGGGTGTCGGGTAATGACCATATCAAACAAGGGAAAATCGAACAATCATCCCCTGATGTTCTATTAGTAGTAATTTAGTTTATTAGAATAATTTAGTGTCACATCCTGGGACTAACCATTGACCAGAGACTGAACTGGATCAATGATTAAAAATGCAGTGGTGACAACAGCAAGTCAGAGGCTACGAATTCTGTGGAGATAAATTCATCTTGTGTCTCTCCATTGCCTGTCCACCATTTACAGGGCACAAGTCAGGAGTGTGATGGAATACTCTTGAATGGGTGAATGCACTCTTAAAATTACTCTGGCATAGACAGTGTCAAGCTTCAAGAAGGCGACCTGCGTGACACCCCATTCACCATTCTTCCGCTGTCTCTGTGTCTCTCTTCCCCACCCCCACCCCCCCCCCCCCCGCCTCACCCGTGCGATCTCTCTCTCTCTTGCCCCCCCCGTCCCTCACGCGTGTGCTCCCCCC